GTAGAGTAGGGGATCCATAAGTGTTGATTAATGGGAAAAATATATGTATAAAACTTTTATTTCTCCAACTTTAGGACAGCATGTCAACAAATCATTCTCATAGACTCATAATATAATACTACAATGGCTTACCTGTACCATTTCCCATGCTTATTTATTTTTTTTAGAAAAGCCCAAAACTTTAATTTTCAACATGAGCTACATGGTCATGAACACAATGCAATGTGACCCACTCCAACCCAGGGGCCCTGGAAACGCTCCCTCCCAAAGGCCTGGGCAGCTCTTGCTCCTGGCGAGGGAAGGAGAGAAAGGTGGGTGGATGGAGAGAGGTGCCCAGCCTGAGGACCCAGGGCCCTGCCTTCCCACCACCTCATTAGGAGGCAGTCGTAGAGTGAACCAGCTCCAGAGGCAATGCCCACGGCCCTGGGTTCAAGTCTCCACTCTGGCTTCACAGAAGCTCTGGGTAAAATGGGCACCACCAGCCCACCTCACAGGGATTACGAGTCAGGGGAGCCGTGGACACTTCCTGTCCACTCCGAGGTGCTGCTCTACAGACATAGGCCCTCCCAGAGGGCCTTGCAGTCATGGGCTCAGTCCCTGGGTCCTGGAATGGCTGTTGCTCAATAAATAAATTCAGGTGACCTTGCCTGATGCAACAGCTGTACCTCCAAAGGGGTTGAGACTCTGCTGTTTCTGATGCCGAAATGCACCCAGGAGCTCCTGGTTTAAGGAACTGGATGGTCAATCAGCTTGTTAAATGCATAAATACCTGGTTCCCATGCAAACATTTTCCCCTTTAAATACTGCTTTAATCTCCCCTATATCCTAAAGTGTTTGTTATTGTTTGGCTGGCCTGGGAGCAGTATCCCAGAGTTAAGATGAAATTTCTTGAGTCCCATGCTCCTCCAGAATTTCTTCTTTGCTCCCCTCCAGTTTATGATAATGAACTGAAATATCTGAGTCTGTGTGCCTTCTATGTATCAGTTTGAACAGTCTCTGCTTTGTTTCCTCTCCTAAATTCGTGGTTCAATATCTGTCTGATGCTTAAGGTTCCTAAGCCTTCCCACAAACGGGACAGACAAATGGGATGTTCTGATAATCTTCTCCAAAGAACAGAATTTTGTCTTTAGGCTTCCATAATCCTTATTGGGGTTTTGTAACTTATACATAAATATTTCAGCTCCCAAATTCCTTCTGAAGCTACCTGCCAGCTCCATTAATAACATAAAATCTATACCCTCCAAGATGAGAAGAGGAAGCAGACTATCACTTGGGGAAAGAGCTGACCTCTTTGCCATTATTCTTTCTCCAAAGACTCATCTTGCTCTTGGGAATGTCATCGCTGGCCCGTTACTTTACTTTAGGACATCTCTCTGCCTTTCCACCCAAGGATGGACTCAGACTCTGTGTTTGTTTCACCAATAAACAGTTACTATCAGGCATTTCAGAAATAGTTAATAAGGATTAAGTATGACATGAAGAATAAATAAAACTTGTCTATTAGGTGTGACTATTCTAAAAAGCCAAGAAATCACAATCCCTCCTAATGAGTTGCCTTATAAAATTGGCTCTCTGTCTTGAGAGACATTTTTTTTTCTGAGGATTATATAAAAGAAGCCATCTTGGCCAGGCGCTGTGGCTCACGCCTGTAATCCTAGCTCTTGGGAGGCCGAGGCGGGCGGATTGCTCAAGGTCAGGAGTTCAAAACCAGCCTGAGCAAGAGCGAGACCCCGTCTTACTAATAAATAGAAAGAAAATTAATTGCCAACTGTATATATATAAAAAATTAGCCGGGCATGGTGGCCATGCCTGTTAGTCCCAGCTACCGGGAGGCTGAGGCAGAAGGATCACTCAAGCCCAGGAGTTTGAGGTTGCTGTGAGTAGGCTGACGCCACGGCACTCACTCTAAGCCTGGGCAACAAAGCGAGACCTCTGTCTCCAAAAAAAAAAAAAAAAAAAAAAAAAAAAAAAGAAGCCATCTTTTCACCACCTTCCAGGAAGCCCCTGAATACTCTTTCATTTTTCAAATTTTCTACTTATTTGTTCACCCATCCCAATAATTAAGGGCAATATTGGACTTCTAAGAAGCATAAGATCTGGGATTTGACCCAGGTCAAATTGGATCCAAAGCTTTAGCATTTCCAAGAAAGCCTTAATTTTAGGTATTTGGGCAATTGTGTATCCTTAGTCAATTCTAATAATCTCTAATTAATTATGAATAAAATATTAGCTTTTCAAATGTTTCATAGCCATAAATAGTATCTACAGAGCATCTGGGTTTCTTTAATAGATGACTAGAATGAAATCTCCCCCTGAGTTACCAATTATTTTGTAATATGAATGTTTTCTATATGATGCCTTAAGATATTTTTTTTTCTTTTTTGAGACAGAGTCTTACTTCGTTGCCCAGGCTAGAGTTCCATGGTATCAACCTAGCTCACAGCAACCTCAAACTCCTGGGCTCAAGCAATCATTCTGCCTCAGCCTCCCAAGTAGCTGGGACTACAGGCATGTGCCACCATGCCTGTCTAATTTTTCTATATATTTTTAGTTGTCCAGCTAATTTATTTCTATTTTTAGTAGAGATGGGGTCTTGCTCTTGCTCAGGCTGGTCTCAAACTCCTGAGCTCAAATGATCCACCCACCTCGGCCTCCCAAAGTGCTAGGATTACAGACATGAACCACTGTGCCAGGCCTGATGCCTTAAGATATTAGCCACAAAATACCCTAAGCATCGTTTCCCTCTCTGCTTAAGGAAGTCATCATTTATTTTCTATTGGGGAGAGTTTCCACTGTGTGACAGAGTTTATACACATCTTCATGGGAAAAGACTGCTGCTGATCCAGGCTTATTGAGATATGTGATTTGCTTATGTGTTGGCAGCCTTTAGGTGATGCATCCTCATGGAGAGATTGCTTCCCTAAACTAAGATGTGAGACTTTCCTGAGAACCACACATCTTCCCACTTAGTGTCTTCAGCTCTTTCTTCCTTTATAACCCAATGTTCTCACGCTGGCCAATACACTAATCCCCAATTATATCACTGAGTGGTATGCCATTACATACAAAAATACATAATCTAGTGTCCTTAATTTGGAGGAAATAGTTGAAATAAAAATTTTAAATAACTTCACATCATTGTTTAAATGAATACAGTGAAGTTTTAGGCTCACTCCTGCTATCAAGGATAATTTTAAATCATGGAGAGCTATTATTTATCCTTTTTCTGTTTAAAGAAAATAATATTACTTTAATCTTCCATAATAAGATGAGTACATATTTACTTACCATATTCATTTAGAGCCAATATAACTAAGAAAGAAAGAAAAATCTCCTACAACCATATTATACATTCTATCATTATCAATATCTTGTATTTATTTACAACCTGTTGGTACATGTGTAATTATGTAATGTAGTTATTTTTGTTTATAAAATTAATATTATGTTGTAAATAATAATTGATGTTTTCCTCACTTCACTTTATTCATTTAATTTTTTAAAGCACTTATGAGATATTTCCTCATGTTATTAAATATTATTCAAAAACACAATTTAACTTGCTTATCATATCTCATCATATAAAGGATGAAATTATAGGCCGGGTGCAGTGGCTCACGCCTGTAATCCTAGCACTCTGGGAGGCTGAGGCGGGCGGATTGCTCGAGGTCAGGAGTTCAAAACCAGCCTGAGAGAGACCCTGTCTCTACTATAAAAATAGAAAGAAATTAATTGGCCAATTAATATATATATGTATATGTATATAAATAAAATTAGCCGGGCATGGTGGCGCATGCCTGTAATCCCAGCTACTCGGGAGGCTGAGGCAGGAGGATTGTTTGAGCCCAGGAGTTTGAGGTTGCTGTGAGCTAGGCTGACGCCAGGGCACTCACTCTAGCCTGGGCAACAAAGCGAGACTCTTGTCTCAAAAAAAAAAAAAGGATGAAATATAGAATTAATAGTTCTAATATTGAACATCAAGGTTGACTACATTTGTTATATAATAATCTCTTAGTGGGCATTCTTGTATAAGAATCTTTTTGTACCTATTAGGTTAATTTTACACTTAAGAACTGGTCAAAGAAATATTAAATCAAGGGCTTCTGATACTTATGGTCAAACTAGTTCTTTATAAAATGTGTCCCAGTGTATACTTCCATCATTTGTAAGTGAAAATCTCTTTCCCAAAACCTTGGGAATTTGGGTATTATTATTTTTCAGTGTATTTTTAATGTTTTTTTACTAATAAGATAACCTTAACTGATACTTAATTGTTCCATTGGGATGTTTATTATGAGTGAGGTAGACCCCTTTATTCCACCTGGTCATGTCACTACAAAATCATCACCATTATATTCTCTGACCACATAATATTTTCAATTAAAAACAAACATATACTTATTTTACATTATGTGAATTATTTGAATAAATATACAAATAAAAAACAGTTTTAACATCAGAGGCTTCAAATCTTAGAATGCAGTCTAACCTAATTCACATTAATTATTATGGATTCTTTTAGGACTGAGGTAGACCAAAGGATGAACTGGAAAAGTTCCAGGATATGTTGAATAACCATTTAGCAGAGTGTTTGAAATGGGTGGTTGCCCATTTAAAGTTATATCTAACCCTCACGTTCTAAGAGTCTACGAAAAAAGCAGAAATATTTTTTTATATCCTTTTTTGGCCCCTCTCATTCCCCCATGGCAGTGACTGCACTCTCCAGTTGTTTCCATTTGGTCTTATCCTTAATTCTGATCTCTTCTAAGAGCACTATTCAAGAGTTATGTTCAGATTCATCGTCATGTTATATAAAACAAAGGAACAATTCAGAGATAACTTTTCAAATCTTCCTTGAACATGAAGATAATTCCTGGGTTTGTATTTTCTAGCAGAACTATCTGAACTCATTGCCTTTACCTAGGAACTGCTTTTGACAACTTCCACAGTTCCAGTTCTCAAACCTTTGGGCATATATATGACAAACATTTCCCACTTACTTTCTGGTGGTTCTGGTGGTTCCCCATGACTTTTTTTCTTCTTGAGTCTGAAAAACACTAGACGCTAGTGATTATAATTTTGAGTTTACTTTGTCATACTGTTAAGTCCTATATGTCCTTCCAGATAAGAGTGCCTGCAAATGCAAGATGACCATTGGTTACAATGACATAAAGAATATCATCCTTTCCTCTTACCATCACTAAGTCTAAAATGAAATCTGATGAGAGTTCTTCTCGCTCATTAAACTACTAAATAATATTTCCCTAAATTCTGTGGCTGACAGAATGCAAAATTGCAAATGAATGCTAGCAACTCTTCCTAGCTTTGGAAGTTAAGATGGTCTGACCCTTCTGCACAAAGAAGTGGGCTTCTCTATATTAATTTTTCATTATTAGAAAGGGCACATATTTTATTGGTTTTATGTGTTTAGGTGCACAGGGATCAATTGAATGAAAAAATAAAAATGTCTTTGGTGACCCTATGCAAACTACTAGTGAATAAAAAAAAAAGGGAAAAAGTAATTAGTGCCTGTGGGACAGTGTCCACAGGGAGAAGAAACACAACAATAATAGCATCAACTGCAGCAAAAAACAGAGGATAAAACGACAATCTGTTTCTTGTAATGTTATCTTTATATTGTCTATGGCTTTCTTTGTTTAAATTTAGGAGAAAACTAGTTGAAGAAATTCTGGGGATCATCTGATGATTTCTATGTTACAGAACACGCTCATATATCTTACTCAAGTCAGTCCTTCCTAGATATCTGATTATTAGTTCTTAAAATGTCTTTTTTAATTTCAGCATATTATGGGGGTACAAATGGTTAGGTTATATGTGTTGCCTTTCTCCTCCTTCACTCCATTCCCACCCAGAGTCAGAGCTTCAAATGTGTCCATCTCCCAGATGGTGTAACACTCATTACGTATGTTTATACCCATCCCTTCCTGCCCCCTCCCCTCTGCCCAATGCCCAATAAATGTTATTTATATGTATCCACTCAGGTGTTGATCAGTTAATACCAATTTGCTTGTGAGTACATGTGGTGCTTAGTTTTCCATTCTTGGGATACTTCACTTAGGATAATGGTCTCCAGTTCCAAAAGGTATTCATTTTTCTATATGGCTGAGTAGTACTCTATGGTGTACTTTTACCACATTTTGTTAATCTCATGAATTGATGGACACTTAGGTTGATTCCACATCTTTGCCATTGTGAATTGTGCTGCAATAAACATTCAAGTGAAGGTGTCTTTTTGATAAAGTAACTTCCTTTCCTTTTGGTAAATATCCAGTTGTAGAATTGCTGGATTGAATAAGTAGGCCTACTTTTAGTTCTTTGAGGAATCTCCATACTATTTCCCATAGAGGTTGTATTAATTTGCAGTCCCACCAAGACTGTATACCAGTAAGCATTCTCTCTGCATCCATGCTAGCATCGATTGCTTTTGGACATTTTAATAAAAGCCATTTGAACAAGAGTAAGGTGATATCTCATTGTGGTTTTAATTTGCATTTCCCTGATGATTAGTAATGTTATTTTTTCATGTTTCTTGGCCATTTGTCTTTCTTCTTTTGAGAAGCAACTGTTCATGTCTTTTGCCCACTTTTTAATAGCGTTGTTTGTTTTTTTCATGCTGATTTGCTTGAGTGGTTTGTAAATTCTGGTTATTAGCTTTTTATTGACTAAATATTTTCTCCCATTCTGTAGGTTATCTATTTGCTCTGTTGATTGTTTCCTTAGCTGTGCAGAGGCTTTTTAGTTTAATTAATGAAATCTCATTTATTAGTTTTTTTGTTGGCATATTTGCCATTGGGGACTTTTTATAAATTCTTTGCCTAGGCTGGTATCTGGAAGAGTTTTTCTTACATTTTTTTCTCTAAAATTCTTATGGTTTCATGCCCTAGAGCTAAGTCTTTTATTCATCTTGAATTATAATAATTTTTGTGAGTGGTGAGAGGTATGGGTCCTGTTTCATTCTTCTGTATGTGGCTATCTAATTTTCCCAGCACCATTTATTGAGTAGAGTTTTTTTGTCCCAGTGTACATTTTTGTCTGCTTTGTCAAAAATCAGTTGGTTGAATGTAGATCGTTTTATATCTGGGTTCTCTGTTCTGTTCCATTGATCTGTGTCTCTATTTTTGTACCTATACCATGCTGTTTAGGTTACTATAGCATTGTAGTATAGTATGAAGTCTGGTAATGTGATGCCTCCAAATTATTATTATTATTATTGTTATTTTTTGCTTAAGATTGCTTTTGCTATTCAGGCTCTTTTATGGTTCCAAACAAGGCATAGAATTTTTCTAGATCTGTGCAGTATGACTTTGGTAACTTGATGGGGATTGGATTGAACTTGTACATCACTTTGGGTAGTATAGACATTTAAACAATATTGATTTCAGCTATCCATGAGTATGATATATTTTTCCATTAGTTTATATTCTCTGCAATTTTTTTCCTCAGAGTCTTGCTGTTCTTGTAGAGATCTTTCACCTCCTTGGTTAAGTAGATTCCTAGGTATTTTCTTTTCTTTATCTTTATTGGGCATGTTATTGAGCTCATGTGATGTAATAGGAAGTATATAGTTTCATCTATCAACTATTTTTGCCTAAAAAATGAAAGCAAATCTAATGAAGAGGTACATCTAATTAACATGTGAAAGGAGATTGGGTCATAGTGAAACAAGTTAACTGATACTATAAGGAGGCAATCAATTAAATAATCTAGGATATTATACCCTGCAAATGACCTAGTTTTTCCATCAAGTAATAAAAATAAATACAGACATGAAGAAATAAATAGATAAATAAATAGAAAGAACTGCTAGGAAATTTTAAAAAGTTTTAAGCGACATAATAACCGAATGTGATCTTTGCTTGGATTTTGTTTGGAGTTTCATTCAAACATATTAACTGTGAAAAAACCAAAACAAAATAAAACCCAAAACTTCTTTGAGTGAACCAGGGAAACTTGAATACACACTGAATATGAGAATCTATTAAGATTTATTAATAATTTTGTTATGTGGGATAATGGCATGACAGGCAAAAAGAAAATTTTCTTATCAGTTAGATATAGCTACTGATAAATGTGTGGGTGAAATGAAATGAATTTATGGGTAGAATACTATAAGGTGAAATACTAGCCAAAAAATATTAGGTCATGGGTGACAGAGAATAATTTTAATACACTGATAATTAGAGAAGTTGGATGATAGGTACATGTCTGTTAATTATTCTATTTTGTCCTCTTTTGTATATGTTCCAAAATTTCCATTCAAGAATGATTTAAAAACCTAGATTACTGGCTAATTTTCTATTTAAATTTCAAATTTATCTGCTTATTGAAATTGGGAGAAAATCACTGCTCATGGTTGGCTACTAGTAGGTAAGCACATTTTCCCTCCCTTTCCTCTCCATTTGCCAGGGAGTTAGCTCAATAGGGTAGAATGTCCTCCCCTTACAATTTTAGAAATGTTCTACTGTTAGTCTTATCTAAAAAACTTTAATGTAATAGTTTTTATAGTGTATTGTCTATTTTTTTTTTTTTTTTTTGAGACGGAGTCTCACTTTGTTGCCCAGACTAGAGTGAGTGCTGTGGCGTCAGCCTAGTTCACAGCAACCTCAAACTCCTGGGCTCAAGGGATCCTCCTGCCTCAGTCTCCCGAGTAGCTGGGACTACAGGCATGCGCCACGATTACCAGCTAATTTTTTCTATATATATTAGTTGGCCAATTAATTTCTTTCTATTTATAATAGAGACAGGGTCTCAGTCTTGCTCAGGCTGGTTTCGAACTCCTGACCTCGAGCAATCCGCCCGCCTCAGCCTTCCAGAGTGCTAGGATTACAGGCGTGGGCCACCGCGCCCAGCCTAGTGTATTGTCTATTAATAATTATAATAACATTTATTATTAACAGTGTGTTCATAATGTAAAAATGTGTAAATGCATTACATTTACTTTTATCTTTGTACATTGTTTATAATATAAATCTTGCTTGATTTCAGTACTAGAACATCTTTTGTATGTTTCTTGAAGTCATCTTGATGCCTCTGGAGAAGCAGTTACATGTACTAGAAAACAAGATCCTTTTAAATTCAGTAAAACTAGTTTTGAGTCCTAGTTATATCACTTATTAGAAATAGTTCATTCTTCTATACTTGATTTCTCCACATGTACATTATAACTATAAAAATAACCTGTAGGATTATTTTCAGGTTTGTCAGTGTTGTAAATTCTTAATAAAATTTGACTTTCATTCCATTTCACTCAGAAATTTAAAAATATACATTTGAACAGGAAAGCTAATTTTAGTTATATCCTTTTTTATCTGTTGTTCATAGATCAATGTCAAATGTTACTTTTGTATTTTTTACATCCACATAAAAATCCTTATTTTGTTGGGGGGAAGGCAGATGGTGGGTATAGGATAAAAACTTACCTATTGGGTACAGTGAACACTATTCTGGTGATTGGCACACCAAAAGCCTTAATATAGTATTATACAAGATATCCATGTAAAAAGAAAACCACTCGTACCCCCTTAATTAATATTTTGAAATAAAAAAATATAAAAAAATTCTCACTTTGCATCTTTGCATTGTCAGGAGTATAAAATCATCATGTTGGAAGATTATTATGTAACTAATATTTATCTAGGTACTAGGCATAAAGTGTGCTAGAATTTGGCATATAAGACAGACAATCTCCATATTTGCTGTCTAGAGTAGAATAAGAAAAAGTCAGCAGAAAATTGCAGTCTGGTAAAAGTCATGCATGATAGTGGCAGACAAGTGTGTGGCAAGAATGTGGATGGGTTGGCCTGACCAGGTTGGCAATAGTGTTGGTGGTGCAGCAGTAGGATAAGGTCAGAGAAAGACTCCTTGGGGGAATGCCACTCAAAATGGAGGACAGATGGAAGTTGGGTAGTTGAAAACTGAGGGGGATATTCCTGCTCACAGGAGCCATGATGTGAGCAGTGGCCTGAGAAAGAGAAAAAGAATCAAGGGAAGTCTAATATATTGGACGATAGAAGTGGAAATTGGTGAAGGATTTAACAAGTAATTAAATGCAGATTTCTTTTGAGGAATATTTTTGGGTGCCTATTTTGGACTCTTGAAATGGCTAACATTTTC